AAAAAAAGGCTGGGCGGTGGCTCATGCCTGTAATCCCAGCACTTTGGAAGGCTGAGGTGGGCAGATCATGAAGTCAGGCCTTTGAGACCAGCCTGGCTGACATGGTGAAACTGCATCTCTAAAAATAAAAATAAAAATTAGCTGGGCATGGTGGCGCACACCTTTAACCCCAGCTACTCAGGAGGCTGAGGCAGGAGAATCACTTAAACCTGGGAGGTAGAGGTGGCAGTGAACCAAGATGGCGCCACTGCACTCCAGCCTGGGAAACAAGAGCAAAACTCCATCTAAAAAAAAAAAAAAAAAAAAAGAAGTCTTTCCTGACTACTCTGCTAAATCACACCCCCTACTATACTTTGCCCTGCACACGAACTCCCTGAGAGTAGGGACGTAGCCTGCTTTGTACGGTGCTGTGTCCTGGGTGCCAAGTACAGGCCTGGCACGTTACAGGCCCAGTAAATGCTTGTTGAATGAATAAATGATGGAGCCGACCCCCAGTGCATGGCCATCTCTCTCCCAAGCCCTCTGTGGTTACTGGGTCACAGCAGGCGTAGGTCCCACGATCCCCAGGTCCTTACAGGTCTGAAGGGAGCATCCCTGGGCTCACTGCCCTGCAGCTGCCCACCTTGAGCACCAGTTTGCTGGCAAAGTAGAAAAAGGCGACAACCCGGCCCCAGTTGAAGTTGCCGTCAGAGAACATGTCAGCTGCCACTCGAAAAAAGACCTCTCGGGGGGAGTTTGTGTCCACAGTGGCAATCATCCTGCAGGAGAGAGGAGAACCAGCGCTGGGGAGCGGGTACAGGCAGACGGTGGAAATTCTCACATCCACCACACAGCAATGATAAGGAAACTGAGGCCCACGCCAGGCTGAAATGAAAAGCAACAGGCCAATGGGGGCAAGGGAAGGGGACAAGACAGACATTTAACAGGGCAGGAAAATGACTCCCTAAAGGAGGGTTTTAAAATCCTGACAGAAGGAGGGTTGGGAGTCCGGAATGTTTGGGCTGAGTGGTGGAGCCCAGACTCCTAGTTCTTAGGGGAGGAGGAGAATGTGGGGCTGGGACTCCTGTGTTCTCAGGAGCCCCATGATTGGACTTCTGGGTCCCGGGGTCCCCCACCTCTGCAGCTCCATGTTGCTGTCCAGTTCGTCCCCGATGCGCTTGAGACACTCGCTCAGCTTCTTGGTGGACGCATCCTGGGGCACCGGGTCCAGGGCCAGCTCGGGTGCCTCCCCCCCGATTCGCCCTGCTCGATCCTGGATGAAACTAGGGTGGGAATGGAGTGAAGGTGCAGAATCAGAACGGGGTGTCACTCCTCAAATCTGTGCCCCGATAAACAGACCTCAAACTCACCCCTGAAGCAAAAGGGCCCCTGTCTTCATGATCTGCTCAGAGCTGGTGGGCCCTAGAGGAGAAAGGAAGGGAAGAGGTGCCTGGACTCTTGGGTGCTAGGGGATAAGACTGTGGAGGTTCACGGTCCCTGAGGGAGGACAGAGCTGGGGACCCTGGACTTCTGGGACCCTAGTAGATAAAGTGATGGGGGCCCAGACAACTGAGTCCCGGATGGAGAAAGGCCAGGAGGCTAGGCCTGTATCCTGCATTCTTCCGGCGGGGAGAGGCTAGGGGGGCACCAAACGCATCCAGACCACTGGCCTGAGGGGGCAGAGGCCAGACCCGCCCCTCCCACCAGCGCCAGAGGCAGGAAGTGGTGCGGGCGACAAGCCCGGGCCTGCCCAGGGGCTTGGATTCTGAGATCCCCTGGGTCTCGGGCATCCAAGAGCGCCAGACAGGCAGAGATCGGGGCACCGGGAACCAGAGAGCCGGGAACCTCCGAGGACGTAGGGGCAGCGCCCGATCCGGGAGTTCCTGCCACTCAGTGCTTGGAGATCGCACGGCCCCAGGCCGGTAAGAGGGATCCTGGGGCCGGCCGGCGAGGGGGGCTCGCCCTCCTTCCGCCCGACTGCCTCCCGCCTCACCCTCGCCTCTGGGCTGCTCCCCGGACCCGTCCATCACCGCCGCTCCCGCCGCTGCCTCTCGCCGGGTCCGCGCGGGCGGCCGCAGCGCGCCCCGGGTCACGTGAGCGCCCCGCTGAACGTGCGTCCCTCACGTGGCCGCCCCGCAAAATGGCCGCCGCGGGCGGCTGCCCCACAGCGCCGCCGGGTCACGTGACCGCACCTGCCTCGCTCCCTCGGGAGGCTGGGTCCCGTCACGTGACTGTCCAATGAGCATCTCCCCATGCGAGCCAGCCGCGGCGCCCTTCCGACAGCGCCCGTCCAATCCCCGCTCTGATGCCTTCCTGTATCCAGGCACGAGTTTTAGACGTTTCGGGATGGGTTGGGCTCTCCCCAGCGCAGAAGCAAAGACTCAGAGGCCTCAGATAACCTGCTTCCAGGCAGGACGTTGTAGATGACTAAAGGCTGAGTGGTTTTTTTTGTGGAGACCTAGATCTCTCTATATAGCCCAGGTCCAGGCTTCTAACTTGTGAGCTCAGGAGATACCCTGGCCTCAGCCTTCCAAAGTGCTGGGATTACAGGCATGAGCTACCGCGCCGGGCCTGCTTTTCTGTTTCTGTTTTGTTTTGTTATGTTTTCTGAGACAGGATGTTACTGTGTTGCCCAGGCTGGAGTGCAGTGGCCCGATCATGGCTCACAAGCCTCCCACCTCAGCCTCCTGAGTAGCTGTTTTTTAAAATTAACAGTCCCTGGTTAATTTTTTAAAAATGTTTTGTGGAGCCGAGCACGGTGGCTCACACATGTAATCCCAGCACTTTGGGAGGCCGAGGCGGGTGGATCACGAGGTCAGGAGTTCAAGACCAACATGGTGAAAGTCTCTACTACAAATAGAAAAATTAGCTGGGCACAGTGTCAGGTGTCTGTAATCCCAGCTACTCGGGAGGCTGAGGCAGGAGAATGGTTTGAACTCGGGCAGCAGAGGCTGCAGTGAGCCAAGATCGCTCCACTGCACTCCAGCTTGGGTGACAGAGTGAGACTCTGTCTCAAAAAACAGAAAAAAAATTTTTATTGTGTGGAAATGGGGGTCCCTCTATGTTGCTCAGGCTGGTCTCTGAACTTCTAGGCTCAAGCCATCCTCACACCTTGGCCTCCCAAAGTGCTGAGATGACTGACTTGAGCCACCTCACCCAGTCATGACTCGTGAGTGTTTGTGTAAAAATAAAAGGAATATGAAGTTCAAAAAGTGGTAGAAACTCATCTGTGCTGATGGATCAGCAGTGTATGGAGGGGAGGGGCCACAACAGAGATTCCCTGGGTGCCCCAAATATGCCATATTTTGATCTGAATGGTGTTTGCATGAGTATACACATATTATCATTATTTTGAGACACAGTTTTCCTTTTGTTGCCCAGGATGGAGTGCAATGGCACAATCTTGGCTCACTGCAACCTCTGCCTCCCAGGCTCAAGCAATTCTCCTGCCTGAGCCTCCCAAATAGCTGGGATTACAGTCACGTGCTACCATGCCCAGCTAATTTTGTATTTTTAGTAGAGATGAGGTTTCACCATGTTGGTCAGCCTGGGCAACAGAGTGAGCCTCTGTCTCAAAAGAAAAAGAAAATTAGCTGAATGTGGTGGTGTGTGCCTGTAGTCCCAGCTACTTGGGAGGCTGAGGTGGGAGGATCAGCTGAGCTTGGGAAGTCCCGTCGCGGTGGGCTGTGATGGATCGTGCCACTGCAATCAGCCTGGGGACACAGTAAGATCCTGTCCCAAAAAGAAAAAGCCTGGATAAATGGGAAGGGTAGAGTTTAGGTGACAATCCAATGGTAGCTTAGAGCAAAGCAAGGTCAACATCGGGTCAGAACTGTGAAGTGAAACCAGTGTCCTGAATTCTTGGAAACATGTGCAATGTTGCATCCAGAAACCCTTTATCTGAAGCTCTGCACCTGCCTTGGAAATCAAGGCTGCTACTCTGTATCAAGTGGCTTAGATCCTGCAAGCAAGAACGGGCTGTTTCATTTTTACTGATAGAATTTCCAACAATTTATGAGTGTAGAGAACAAAGTTTCTCAGTGAGTAGGAAAGCATGTCGTTGACACGGGGGCGCATGCCTGTAATCCCAGCACTTTAGGAGGCCAAGGCAGGCGGATCACCTGAGGTCAGGAGTTCGAGATCAGCCTGACCAACATGGAGAAACCTTGTCTCTACTAAAAATACAAAAATTAGCCAGGCATGATGGTGCGCTCCTGTAACTCCAGCTACTTGGGAGGCTGAGGCAAGGGAATCGCTTGAACCTGGGAGACAGGCTGCAGTGAACAGACATCGTGCCATTGCACTCCAGCTTGGGTGACAGCTGACTGTCAAGCTGGACTCCATCTCCAAAAAAAAAAAAAGCATATCCTTGAGAGAAATAATGCTTCCTGTTAACTTTGCGGCTGGCTTTATCTCTGTGCGTTACTCCATTCCAATGAGATAGCCCACTCCCTACCCCAGTTACAGAGAAGGAAGGAAAGAAAGGGCTTTTAATGCGGCTACCGTCTCTGAGCAGTATAGCCACTGAGTCAGGGAATACACTTTTTAGCTAATTGTGAAGTCAAAACTTTATATTTATTTATTTATTTATTTTGAGACGGAGTTTCCCTCTTGTTACCCAGGCTGGAGTGCAATGGCATGATCTCGGCTCACCACAACCTCCACCTCCCGGGTTCAGGCAATTCTCCTGCCTCAGCCTCCTGAGTAGCTGGGACTACAGGCACGCGCCACCATGCCCAGCTAATTTTTTGTAGTTTTAGTAGAGACGGGGTTTCACCATGTTGACCAGGATGGTCTCGATCTCTTGACCTCGTGATCCACCCGCCTCGGCCTCCCACAGTGCTGGGATTACAGGCTTCAGCCACCGCGCCCGGCCTTATTTATTTATTTATTTATTAGAGGCGGGGTTTCAATGTGTTGGTCAGGCTGGTCTCGAACTCCTGACCTCATAATCTGCCCACCTCGGACTCCCAAAGTGCTGGGATTACAGGCGTGAGCCACCGCACTCGGGCTATTTTTATTTATTTATTTTGAGACGGGGTCTCCCTCTGTCACCCAGGCTGCAGTGCAGTGGCACAGTTGTAGCTCACTGCAGCCTCAACCTCCTGGGCTCAAGGGATCCCTCCACCTCAGTCTCTGGAGTAGCTGGGACTATGCGTGTGTGCCACCATGCATGGCTAATTTTGTATTTTTTGTAGAGAGAGGGTTTCGCCATGTTGCCAAGGCTGGTCTCAAACTCCTGGGCTTACGTGATCCACCCGCGTCAGCTCCCCACAGTGCTGGGACTACAGGAATGCATCACTGTGCCCGGCTAAAACTCTTTTATTTTTTATTTGTATTTTTTTACCCTCCACACCCCTGGCTAAAACTCTTTACGATAATAAAGATGCCGTATCAAAACTATTAAGCCCACAAATATGAAAATTAGCCAGGCATGGTAACATGTGCCTTTAATCCCAGCTACTCAGGAGGTTGAGGCAGGAGAATAGCTTGAATCTGGGAGGCGGAGGTTGCAGTGAGCCAAGATCATGCCACTGCACTCCAGCCTAGGCGACAGAGTGAGACTCTGTCTCAAAAAATAAAAACAAAAATAAAAAAATAAAGAAAAGAAGTTTTATTGGCTCATGGTTCTGCAGGCTGTACAGTAAGTGTTACACAGGCATCTGCTTCTGGGGAGGCCTCAGGAAGCTTCCATTCAAGACAGATGGTGAAGGGTGAACAGGCATCTCACATGGTAGGAGAAGGAGCAGGAGAGAGCGGGAAGGTGCTACACACTTTTTTTTTTGTTGAGACTGTATTTCGCTCTTGTTGACCAGGGTGGTGTACAATGGCACGATCTCGGTTCACTGCAACCTCTGCATCCCGGGTTCAAGCAATTCTCCCGCCTCAGCCTCCCAAGTAGCTGGGATTACAGGCATGTGCCACCACAGCCAGCTAATTTTGTATTTTTAGTAGAGACGGGGGTTTCACCATGTTGGTCAGGCTGGTCTTGAACTCCTGACCTCAGGTGGTCCACCCGCCTCAGCCTCCCAAAGTGCTAGGATTACAGGCGTGAGCCACCACGCCCAGTGGTGCTACACACTTTTAAACGACCAGATCTTGAGAGACCTCACTGTCGTGAGCGCAGAACCAAAGTGAGGGTGCTAACCATTCCTGAGGAAGCCACCCCTGTGAGCCATGTGCACATCTGGCAGGCAGTGACAACACCCAGAGCCTCCCTCCAACACTGGGAATGAAATTTCAAGAGATCTGGGCAGTGACACAGATCCAAACCATACCTCAGCCACCATCTTATTTATTCCTCCGCAAAGGAAAGTCAGTAGTAGCGCTTCCCCTTTACTGATGAAGAGACAGAGAGGCTGGGGGAGAGTGTATGCAGGGACACTTTCTACCCACACACCATTCGTTTCCTGAGGTCACATGTGCCATCTGGCTCCAGTGCCCAGGCCTCCACTTAACTGGTGAAATTGTTACGGGATCTTTGGGGTGTTGCTTTTCTGGCCAGAAACCTCTGTGCCTGGCGGCACCTTTGCCCTAGTTCTTGTCCTGTGTCCAGGAAGAATGAGGTATGCAGCCGAGTGAAGGGTGAACAAGATGAAGAGGAGCTTTCCTGAGCGTTACGACAGCGCAGAGGATACCTGCAGTGGGTAGGTCCTCTTTGTAGGCAGGTCATCCCGTTAAGTGCTCAGCTCTCAGCAGAGAGGAGGTCCTGGAGAGGGCAGCTCCTCTCTGTAGCTGATCATCATGTTGTCTCTCTATCCGCTGCCTGCTCTGGTGGAACACAGGGCTTTTATGGGCCTCAGAGCGGGGAAGCGCATGCTTATTGGTCCATGGGCAGCCATGGGTAGGCCCAAGAAAAAGCACCGTGAGATCCCCCTCTGGTCCGCAGGACTGGCAGCCTGGGCCCCAGGCTTCAGGCCTACCCTGGCCTGAAGATGAGGCTTCACTGGGGACTGACCCCTTCTACCCAGGCAGGGTCCTGTCTGCCTCCCATGGCCATCATGGTGCCCAGGCTGCTGGCACCAAGGGACACCTGCAGGCCAACACCCAGCCACCCTTAGGTTCCCCTCTTGCACTCCCTGACACCCAATGTCTGAAGAAGGCCGCGGTGGCAGGGTGC